AGTAAAAGAAGGATCACCTGTTTTCTTCCAGTTCTGTATGGTTCATTTTTTTTACATTTAGATCCATGATCTATTTGGTGTTTATTCTTATGTATGGAGTGAGATCTGGATCTATTTTATCTTTTTCCAAATGGGCTCTCAATTGTCCTAGCTTCTTATAAAAATATCTTTACCAGTGATTTAAGATCCCACCTTTGTCATATGCTAAGTTTCCACAGGTATTTGGCTCTATGCTGGACTTCATATTTCAGTCTACTGGTCTGATTGTTTATGTACCAGTACCACACTGTTTTCATTATGGAGATTCTATCAAGTTGTCAGAGCCCTGGTGGTGCAGTGGTTAAGAGCTATGGCTGCTAACCAAAAGGTCAGCAGTTCAAATCCACCAAGTGCTGCTTGGAAACCTACGGGACAGTTCTACTCTGTCTTATAGGGTTGCTATGAGTCAGAATTGACTCATCGGCAAGGGGTTTGGTTTTTGGTTTTTATCAAGTTGTCAGTGATTTCACTCCACTTGGATCAACAATCAGTGCCCAAGGAAGCAACAGTCAAGAAATGTAATGACGTATTGGGCAAATCTGCTGCAAAAGACCTCTTTAAAGTTTTCAAAAGCAAAGGTGTCACGTTGATGACTAAGGTGCATCTGACCCAAGCCATAGTCTTTTTAAGTTGCTTCATATTCATGCAAAAGCTGAACATTGAACAAGGAAGACAGAAGAATTGACGCATACGAACTGTGGTATTGGTGAAGGATATTGAAATATACCATGGACTGACTGCCAGGTGAATGAACAAGTCGGCTTTAGAAGAAATACAACCAGAACGCTCCTTAGAAGCAAGGATGGTGAGACTTCGGCTCACTTACTGTGGACACATCATCACGAAAGACCAATTGCTAGAAAAGGACATCCTGAATGGTAAAATAGAGGGTCAGGGACAATGAGGGAAACCCTCAATGAGGTGGACTGACACAGTAGCTAAAGCCGTGGGCTCAAATATAGCAATGATTGTGAAGATGGCACAAGACTGAGCAACATTTCCTCTGTTATCTGTAAGGTCACTATGAGTCAGAGTCCACTCGGTGACAACCGGAAATAGTGGTACACCTGCTCCCTCCCCCAGTAATTTTTCTTTTGTAGCATCTTCCTGGCGATTCTCACACGTTTCTTTCTCTGCGTGAACGTAGTCTTACTTGAGGCTAAATGGGAAGAGTCTGCGATGTGGCCTCTGAGAGGGACAGAGTGTCAGAGGTATGTGGGTCTCTGTAGTGTGCTGCACACACATCCTCCTCCCTGTTACTTGTGGGTGATGGAGGTCTGAACATGGAAAGGGAAAAGGTAATCTCTCTGTCCTTATTTTGATTTAGTAAGATTATTTCCTTTGTGAGGCTACCTCTTGACCTTAGATTTTCCAGCAAAATCTTTTCAGGGTTTTCTTCTAGAAAGTACCATAGGTAAGAGGGTTGTTGTTGTTAGCTTGCCATCAAGTCAGCCCCAGCTCATGGTGACCCCCAAGCACAAGAGAACAAAATGCTGCCCGGTCCTGCGCCATCCCCATGATTGGTTGTGGATCAGACCAATTTTCAGAAGAAGATCACCAGACCTTTCTTCCTACTCCATCTTCTTCTGGAAGCTCTGCTGAAATCCATTCATCTCCACTGACAGACAGGTGGTGGCTATGCGTGAGGTGCATTGGTTGGGAATCAAACCCAGGTCTCCTGCATGGAAGGGGAGAATTGTACCACTGAACCGCCACTGCCCCGGGTAAAAGGATTATTCTTGTTAGTTGCGCTCGAGTCACCTCCAACCCATGGCGACCCGATGTGTATGGAGTAGAACTGCTCCAAAGGCTGAAACCTTTCAGAAGCAGATCGCCTGGCCTGTCTTCTGAGGCACCTCTGGGTGGGTTTGAACTGCCGGCCTTTCAGTTAGCAGTCCAGCACTTAACCATTTGTGCCACTCAGGGGCTCTGGTAAAAGAGCACATCAAAAGCATATGCTGCAGCACAGACTTATACAGGGGAGGAGGCTGCATGGGCCTATGTGAGGAAACACTGTATCCTCGGGCCGGCACAGACGGCACATTGTTTCACCCACTGGTGTCAAACAGCTGTATCATCTCCTGCGGACGGGTCTGTTCCCTGCCTGGCACTGGGCTCTGGCTGGGAGCTCTTCCCTCAACCAGGCAGGCTCAGTTCACAGTTCAATGACACCTCCAGGCTCACAGCAGTCACTCCAACACAAGTCTAGTCGTGGAGAATGTCGGCAGAGCAGCCCTGACACCAAGCTGTCATCACTTTCAAGAAGCAGATTTAATTCTCCCCTGATGATGTTTTTGGGGGTGAGATTTTTGTTGTCGTGAGCTGCCATCGAGTTGCCCCCCAACTCATGGTGACCCCGTGTGCAATGCAGTGAAACGCTGCCCCCTCCTGTGCCATCCCCATGATCGCTTCCAGATGGGACCATTGTGATCCATAGGGATTTCGGAGGTAGATTACCAGGCCTTTCTTCCTAGTCCCTCTTAGTCTGGAAGCGCTCCTGAAACCTGTTCAGCCTCATAGCAGCATGGAAGCCTCTGGTGGTTGCGTGTGAGGTAGATGTTACTAAAACGGTGAGGTTAGGAGTATGTAACTGAAAATGTTCTCTGCCTTGTAGCTTTTTCTCTTAATTATTGGGAATTCTTAAGAAATAGCCACAGGATAACGTCATTGCTTGCTCATTTGCACTTTGCTTGCCAGAATAATGTTTGCATCACTTTCCCAGCTTGAATTCTCCCACCCTTGGCCATGCCTTGTTGGTGGAACTAGCTCACCCTTAGCGTTCCTTCCACAGTGAAGCAGAACACACTTGATGGGAAGCTGTGGGGCTGAGTTTTATTTGTAACCACCAAATCAGAGCTTATTTAACTATGATGCCCTTTCTCCTGCATGTCAGGAAAAAAATTTAAGAAGCAGTTCCATCCAGGATCATATTGTTGGCACAAGTGGTTAGCCTCTCAAGAGAACTTACTTTAAGAATGACAAGACTTGGTTGGCTGTCCAAGTCCTGATAGTTTGTTATAAAACACCAGTCTTGCCGCCTGTGGTCCTATTAATTTAATCATGTATCTATCACTTGGAAATTTTTAACTGCAAGCGCCAAAACTGACACAGGCTGAGTTTAGCCACAGAAGAGTTCACTGGAAGGATGCTGAGGATGCCCAGAGTGAAGGTGGACGAGGCTGTGAGGGCAGGAGCCGGGCAGCTCCGGAGGTCTGTGAAGCAGGGGCTGAAGAGCCAGCTCCCTGGCATAGCAGGCAGACTGACGTATTTCCAGCCAAGGTGTATTTCTGGTTCCTTGAGGTTCCTGCCTACCTACCCCTTGGGCAGTGGGAGAGGAGAACAGGGGGCCACCTTGAATGACAATGCCACCATAGTTGGCACTGCCACCTTGCATGACAAGGCAGCCACTCAGAATAGGGAAGAGAGTTCTGTAAAGTCAAAGTGGAGGTCTGCATTAGTCTCCTACAGCTGCCATAGCAAAATACCACCAAGCGGGTGGCTTTAAAGAACAGAAATGTATTGTCCTCTTTTGTTTGTTTGGGAGAAGTGGGGAGTGACTGCTGATAAGTACAAGGTTTCTTTTTGGAATGATGAACATGTTCTAAAAGTGATTGTGGTGATGGTTGCACACATCTGTGAATGTACTAAATACCATTGATATGTACAATTTAGATGGGTGAATGTATGGTGTGAGGATTGTGTCTCAATGAACATGATATATAGGCCCCTGGGTGGTGCAAATATTTTGTGCTTGACTACCAACCTAAAGGTTGGTGATTTGAACCCACCCAGTAGCACCGCAGAAGAAAGACCTGGTGATGTGAGTCCATAAAAACTATAGCCAAGAAAACCCCATGGAGCAGTTCTACTGTGTTACACATGGGTTCGCCATAAGTCAGAATGGACTTTACCGCAGTGGGTTTGGGTTTGGGTTTTAGATAATAATTTATTGTCTGGAGGCTAGAAGTTCAAATCAGAGTTATCAGCCATGTAGCTTTCTTTTGAGGGCTCTGAGGAAGAACCTGTTCCATGCCTGTCTCGCAGCTTCCAGTGGCTCCCAGCGGTCCTCGGCATGCCTCGGCTTGTAGGTGCGTTTTCACGTGGTGTCTTCGCCCTGTGTCTGTATTTGCATCTCTTCTCTTTTATAAGACGTAACGTGGGTGGGATTAGGACCCACCCTGTACCATCTTCCAAGACCCTATTTCCAAACAAGGTCATGTTCACAGGTACTAGGGGTTAGGACTTTAGCATATCTTTTTGGGGAATACAATTCAATCCATAACAAGGACCGTCACCAAAAAAGGGGGAGGCCAGAGGCCTCGAGCCTGTTTCCAGAGACTGTGCTAGCCCATGAGCCCTGAGGAGCACAGAGCACCCCTTTCTGAGGAGGCTGGGTTCTTTCCTTACATTGTAAATATGATCCAAATGCCCGTCACAGCCCTTATTCCAGCACAGGAGGTGAGTCTGTGGTTTCGTTGCTGTGCTTTGCTCCATTTCTCGTCTTTCTACCATAGCTGGCTCCTGCCTGCCACGTGCCATCCATAGCGAGCTGGTTCATAGGCATGTAAACGGGCTGATACTGACTGTGGCTGCTGTGTAGAATTCGCTAGAAAAGGACATCATGTTTGATAAAGTAGAAGGTCAGTGAAAACAAGGGAAACCCTCAGTGAGATGGATTGACACAATAGCGCAGCGATGAACTCAGACATACCAAGGATGGTGAGGATGGCATAGGACGGGGCAACAGTTCTGTTGTGCATAAGGTCGCCACGAGTCAGAGTAACTCCATAGCAACTAACAACCACAAAAGCTTTGTAGAAGTACAGCTTAACTAAAGTCAGTCTCTTTGTATTTTCTGAAATGCGCAGAGCTTTATAGCACATATGCAACTTACAAAACACTCTTACAAAACTTACAAAACCCCGTGTGGATTGTGTCCTCATTCTCCTGTTCTGTTCCAGGGCCCACTGCTCCTGGCCTTTGAGGAGGACCTGCTGCAGCAGCCCCTGGAGCTGGCCGTGCAACGAGTCTCGAGTGTGGCCAGGTCCAACCAGGAAAAGGTGAGTGGCAGGTGGGGGAGAGAGGCTCACCTGTGGCGGGCCTTTCTAGACAGGAGGAGGTGAATTTACAGCTGGGAGCAGGGGGTTTGTTTCGATTTAGAGTATTGAAAAGGTAAAAACCTTCCATCACAAAAAATATCTGGTCCATCAACTGATGAATGGATAGATACAATATGGTGCATTTGTGCAATGGAGTATCATCTAACCTTATACAGGAAAGAAGTTCTGATACTTGTCATGGATTGAATAGTGTCCCCCCCAAATACCGTCAACTTGGCTGGGTCATGATTCCCAGTATTGTATAACTGTGTACCATTTTCTCATCTGATGTGATTTCCCTATCTGTTGTAAACTTTATCACTATGATGTAATAACATGGATTAGTGATGTTTATACTGATGAGGCCTATAAGATTAGATAGTATCTTTAGCTGATCTCTTTTGAGATATAAAAGAGAGAAGGGAGCAGAGACACACAGAGACCTCATACCACCAAGAAAGCAGTACCAGGAGCAGAGTGGGTCCTTTGGACCTGAGGTTCCTGCGCTGAGATGCTCCCAGACCAAGGGAAGACTGATGCATCACAAGGACCTTCCTCCAGAGCCGACAGAGAAAGCCTTCCCCTGGAGCTGATGCCTTAAATTTGGACTCGTAGCCTATTAGACTGTGAGAGAATAAATTTCTCTTTATTAAAAGCCATCCGCTTGTGGTATTTCTGTTAGATCAGCACTAGATGACTAAGGCACATTTCATGGCATGAATGGACCTTGAAAGCATTATGCTGAGTGAAAAGAAGCCAGACATGAAAGGACAAATACTGTATGACTCCGCTTATATGAAAGGACTCCATTGATGTAAAATGTCCAGAACAGGCAAATCCATGGACACAGGTTGCCTAGGGCTGGGTGGAAGGGGTGTTTGGAGAGGTATGGGGAATGACTGCTAATGGGGCAGGGCTTCTTTTTGGAGTGATGAAAGTTTTCTAAAAGTGATTGTGGTGATGGCTGCACAATTCTGTGACTATACTAAATACCATTGAATTGTATAGTTCAGATGGGTAAATTGTATGGTATGTGAATAATATCTCAATACAACTTTTATATGTATATATATACATCCATATATATACATACATATGTATCTATACATAGTTTACTGCACAATATATAGATTTGAACCATCTAGATATTACTTAAAGTTTATTTTACTGTTGCTAATAGTCCACAGATTGAACTCACTAGACTGGTCAAAACCAAGAAAACAAAAAACCCATTGCTATCAAGTCAATTCTGACTCATAGCGACCCTATAGGACAGAGTAGAACTGCCCCATAGGGTTTCCAAGGCTGTAATCTTTACAGAGGCAGAGTGCCACATCTTTCTCCTGCGGAGCAGCTGGTGAGTTCGAACAGCTAATCTTTCCGTTAGCAGCCGAGTGCTTAAATGCTGTGTCACCAGGGCTCCTTAGACTGGTTGGATACCATAAATAAATTTAAAGCTTCTTTTAAATGAAAAATGTTTACAAGACCTGAGAAACTTTTGGAGAAACAGTGAATCAACTGTTGATTTTGTTTCAGATGGCTCACATGTAATTTTCAATTGGTGTGTGTCTTAGGCTGGGTTCTCTACAGAAGCAAAACCAGTAAAGCATATAAATATATATAAAGAAAGAGATTTATATCAAGGAAATGGTTTTTTAGAGGCTTTAACATCCCAAGTCCGTGGGGCAAGAGAGAGGCTTCTCCAGATTCGCATAGCTGCAGGGGCTGGCGAACCCAGGATCGGCAGGCCGGAGAACAGGGCTCTTGCTTACAGGTTGTGAAGGTCAACGAATCTCAAGATCGGCAGGCAAGACCACAGGTAAGCTACTAGCTCAAGTCCCAAGAACCGGAGGTCAGACGAACAGGAGCCAGCTGCAGGATCCGGAACAAGCAAAAGCTCCGTCAAGGAGAGCAGGAAGGACTAGGCGGCACAGAGCGGAGAGATGAAGGCTGAGGGGCAGTGAGCCACCACAGGCCCCGCCCCTGCTGGTGCCACTCACAGCAGATCCCATCATGGGGGTGATCATGTATCACATCTCAACAGGGAAGTGATCACAACGTTATACAACTGCTAAAACATTGAGAATCATGGCCCAGCCAAGTTGACGCACAATCTTACCCCTCACAGTGTATATAGAGAGTATATTTAAAAAACATGATCAACAGCAAGGCCCCCTTCTCCATCACATCCTGCCTCCGCCCTCAGCGTGACATGCTCCTAAAATGGGGCTGTTCTTTCTTCCTTCTCAGCCGTGTGTTTATACTTTACTGCTGCATATATGTATGTGTTAAAGATACTATCTAATCTCTATGGATCTAACTAATTTTATTATTAATTAAGAATTTGTGTACCATTTAACAGACAGTGAGAAAGGGATCATGGAGTGACCCCAGCTCCAGAATCCAGAAGGAAAGCATTGCCAGGCTTCTGAACCCCACCCCTGCCTTGTGTATCTCATCCCTGTCACAGCTGGAGTATTGTTTTATGCATTTAAATCTTTTAGTATGTTTTATATACAGTTTTGCAACAAGCTTTTTCTTTATACATTTTTGAAATTCGTGCAGGTTTATATATGTACATTATATATATACATAAAATATAAAAACATATAATGTATAAACCTATGTGAAGGTCCCTGCATGGTGCAAATTGTTTGCATTGGATTACTAACTGCAAAGTTGATGGTTGGAAGTCACCCAGAGGTGCCATGGTAGAAAGCCCTGGAGATCTACTTCGGTAAAGATGACAGCCACAGAAACCCGATAGAACAGTTCTACCTGTAACACATGAGTTGGGCTTGACTCAACGACGTCTGGTTTATATATGCGTGTATTGTTGTTAGCTGCTGCTGGATGTGCTCTGACTCATGGCAATCCTGCGCACAGCAGCACGAAATGCTGCCCGATCTTGTGCCATCCCTGTGATCAGTTGTGGATCATACCGTTGTGATCCGTAGGGCTTTCGTGGGCTGTTTTCTGGAAGTAGATCTTCAGGCCTTTCTTCCTAGTCCGTCTCAGTCTGAAAGCTCTGCTGAAACCTGTCCACCATGGGTGACCCTGCTGGTATTTGAAATGCTGGTGGCATAGCTTCCAGCATCACAGCAACACGCAAACCACCACAGTGCAACAAACTGACCGATGGATGGGTGAGTGTCTACCTCTGGGAGGTGTCTTAGTCATCTAGTGCTGCTATAACAGAAATACCACAAGTAGATGGCTTTGACAGAGAAGTTTATTTCCTTACAGTAAAGTATGTTAAAAGTCCAAATTCAGGGCATCAGCTCCAGGGGAAGGCTTTCTCTCTCTGTCAGCCTTCTCATCAATCTTCCCCTGGACTAGGAGCTTCTCCACGTAGGGACCCCAGGTCCAAAGGACTCGCTCTGCTCCTGGCACTGTTTTCTTGGTGGTATGAGGTCCCCTAACTCTCCACTTGCTTCCCCTTCCTTTTATCTCTTGTAAGATAAAAGTTGGTGCAGGCCACACCCCAGCGAAACACCCTTTACAGTAGATCAGGGATGTGACCTTAGTAAGGGTATTACAATCCCACCCTAATCCTCTTTAACATGAAATTACAATCACAAAATGGGGGACAACCACACAATACTGGGAATCATGGCTCAGCCAAACTGATACACACATTTTTTGGGGGACATAATTCAACCCATGACAGGAGGGATGGGTCAGTTGCATCCTAAGGTTGCTGTTTCCAGAAGTCTGCAAGCCACAGCATCCCTGCCTATGCCTGGTTAAGCCTGACCTTCACAGCTGTAGAACTTTCCACACGTGACAATGATTTCTGTGTATAGAGAGAGGGAGGGAGCATGATAGCTCGTTTGTTCAGTTCAGCCACAATTCAGGGCTCCATTGTATGGATGAAATGGAGGTCATTTTTCCCTCTTCCAAGATGGAGAATGAGGCGGTTTTCTCTTCTCACAAGTGCAAATCATGCTGCAGTGAGCAAGCATATTGCCCATCTCCTGTCTCCTTGGCACACTCATGAGACTTTCTCAAGGGTAGATGTGGAATTGCTGGGTCGAAGACGTGACCACTTTGGCCTGACCAGGTATCCTTGAAATGGTCTCCAAAGTGGTGTCCCAGTGTACCTGGCCTGCCAGCACAGGACTAAAGGCCCCACCACGATCTCTTTCCCCAGACCCTTGCCAATACTGGGACCGCACAACTATAGCATCCCTGTACTGTGTGTGAGGATGTCTCTGGAAGATACCGGAGTTGCAGGAGGAAGCCTGCAGCAACCATGCAGGATGCTGGGACTGGCCCAACTGCGGAGCTGGAAGACGCCTTGGCGAGTGGGTGGTCTGGTGCCTGGTTTTGTAGTCTGGGGAGCTGAGGCACAGAGGGCTGCCAGCCTGACCCACCCAGGCCCCCTGCTGGGGAAGTGACTCTCGGCACAGGGAGCGTCCTTTCTGTTATTGGCCAATAGGGACCAACTGCCTCTATGGTGGATGGTTTCTCTGTGTGTCTCCTGACACTGTTGGAAACGTGTCAGTTAAGAGTGGAGGGGAGAGTTCAGGCCTGGCCTGGAGATGTGAAGGAGGGAGCAGAGATGTGGAAATAGTGCAAGGCCTTCATTCCTTCCATAATGAGCTTTATCTAAACACCATTTGTCCTTCTTTTAGCAGGGTGATGTAGCAATCATTGTCAAGTGTCAAAGTTGTATAGCTGTGAAGGTTAGTGTTACGGATTGAATGGTGTCCTTCAAAAATATGTGTTGTACAATATAGGGGGAGTCAGCACAACTAGACTAAAGCAAAAGCTAAGAAGTTTCCTGTACACAACCAAACACTCTGACGGACAGAGTAGCAGGAGCGGGGTTCTGGGGACCGTGGTTTTGGGTGACATCTATATCAGTTGGCATAACAAAGTTTATTAAGAAAATGTTCTGCATCCCACTTTGGTGAGTGGTGTCTGTGGTCTTAAAAGCTTGCTGGCAACCATCTAAG